AGTTGCAAAACATTTTCCTCCTTTGGTTTTTCTCGTTCTTCATGATCTTTGAACATAATACTCTCTGCTATATACGTACACCCATTTTGGAGTAACCTTCATTTAGAGGGTGGTTGTTTTTTAATAAGGAAGAGCTTGTTATTACCGTCTGTCATGTTATTCATGCCAAAGAACCAATTGCTGTATGGGAGAAATAGCACATGGGGTTCTTCCATCTGCTATAATTGATTATTGCCTTCATGTGGTTCCCAAATATTTCCTGAGTCACAGCATCACTTGACTGATGCCTCTGTCACATTAACTTTAATTTTAGTTTTTAAAATTTTAAATACTTAAAAAATAAATTTTATTTCTAATTAGGCAAATAGTATATTCATTTTCGGGAATCATGAAAGTACAGAAAAGGTATAATCAGGGAAAAAAAGTCGTTAGTTTTGCCATCTGTGGATATGTTCTTACTACCTGTTTTGATGATTGATTGATGTTCCTTTCATGCTAATTGGAAACATATATGTTTATTTTTGTGGGGAGGGTTACTGGGGATTTAACCTAGGGGCACTCAACCCCTGAGCCACATCCCCAGCCCTTTTTATTTTTTATTTTGAGACCAAGTCTCGCAAAGTTGCTGAGGCTATCTCAAACTTGTGATCCTCCTGCGTCAGCCTCCTGAATCACTGGGATTATAGCTGTGCACCTTGCTTAATTGTATATATATTTCATATTGCAGCTTTTCATTCATTACTAACATTTTCCATCAGAAAATATTTTAAAATATTAATGACTGTATAACTTGTCACTAATATGTATCATGCTTTTTAAAAATCCATTCTGATGTTGAGCATTTAGGTTATTTTCAGTTTATCAATATTGTGAATATTCTGTGAAGCAAATGCCTTGTATATCATTCTTTGTTCTTTTTCTGATTGTACTCTAGTTATTCTATAGAATTGATCGTTAAAGGAGAATGATTGAGAGCAACATTTGTCTTTTATAGGACTCATGAGGTGAATTGCAACATGCTTTCCAAAATGATTGAACCTATTTCTGATTTCATGAGCATTCTGCCCTATTCTCCATTTCTTCACCAGAATTGATATTATGTTAAATGCTTTCTAAACAGAATAAAGTATATAAATTAACAAGTGAATTTTGATCCAAAGTTAAAATGTTTAGAGATTTAGTGTAACATATAGCAAAACTTAAGATGTATTTTTCTCATTACTGGAAGAGTCCAACTGAACTATATTTAAACAGTTTTTCTTAACTTCAGATAGGTCTTTAAACAGGTCTCTCACAGATTAAAAAAAAGAAAAGTACAAGTCTGTGCCAGAGTTGCTGATGTAGAAATAAATGATCTGTGATCAAGGAAATAAAAACAAAACCAGTTCTCTCTCCTAATGTAGAGTTGATTGGAGATAAAAGTTCTGTGTGCTGTTTGGTTTCTATATTAACTTTTGCCCTAGGTCTTGGGACAATTGTATAGAGTGGTTGGGAGGGAGGGGTGCATATGTGGGGTTTTGTCCTTTATTATATAGAAAGCATATTAGGATAATTATGACTGAATTCTTGTGTCTGAGTTCTTTATTCTATATAAATTGCAGGTGTGCAACAGAGGAACATGGCTCAAGAAACGAATCACAGCCAAGTGCCTATGCTTTGTTCCACTGGCTGCGGATTTTATGGAAACCCTCGTACAAATGGCATGTGTTCAGTATGCTATAAAGAACATCTTCAAAGACAGAATAGTAGTAATGGTAGAATAAGCCCACCTGGTAAGTAATTCTGTAATTCAGCATATCATAATTAAAATACACTTGGTAGTCTGTTGTATCCAAGACCATTTTCACTGTCACATTGTACTTGTATTACCATATTTATCTCAGTAACTTTTCTTTTACACATTGTAATAGTCATGGTGGAAAGTCAGGAATAAGAGTATCCTTACTCTGTAAATAGTGTAAAGCCATTCCAAGGTCTTATTTGCTGTGCTACAGAAACTCTTAGTACCTTATGAAAACAGAAACATAACTCAAGTAAATATAGCTAACTTGGAAAGTAAAGTAATGGAGGAATATGGGCTACAAGATATAAGAGAACTTTTTTTTTTTTTTAAGATCAGTTATTGGGCTGTACATAGTATAGAACCACTAACATGAATTGTGGTCTGTTACAGCAACTTCTGTCAGTAGTCTGTCTGAATCTTTACCAGTTCAGTGCACAGATGGCAGTGTCCCAGAAGCTCAGTCAGCATTAGACTCCACATCTTCATCTATGCAGCCAAGGTAAGGTGGACTTTCCAAACTGTAGTTGAAAAACTTATGAAAAATAAGGAACAAATTCTATTTTTAATCAATTTTATTAAGGAAACTATGTAAGTTACTTGAGAATTAACTTCCTAAAATTATATCTGACTAATTAGAAAAAGGTTTTTATTGTTTTCACTTGGGAGTGAGATCTTTTAAGTCTTAGATTTCCTTTTCAAATATCTTTTCCTTTATTCTACTTCATACTATATCCTGACCCACCCCTGAAGTCCTTTTGGAGACTTTTGAGTCAATTCCTTAAATTATAGTCTTAATCTGAAAGTATTAGTACTTTGCATTTTAAAAATGTTCTTGTTGGCTGGTTGTGGTGGCACACACCTATAATCCCAGTGACTCTGGAGGCTGAGGCAGGAGGATCACAAATTTGAGGCCAACTTTGGCAACCTAATGAAACCCTGTCTTTAAGAAAATAAGTAAAAGTCAATAAATAAATAGAGGGCTGGAGAGTGGTAGAGCACCCCTGGGTTCAATCCCTGGTACTGCAAAAAAAAAAAAAAAATATCTTAGCACAGGTTCTCTTTAATATCATTATTGGGTATTATATTTGGTACTTATAAAGAAAAACATGTTACAAAACAAATATAAGTCTGAAGTCAGAGTTAGAAGCCTGCATACAGAAATACTTGTTTCAGTTTTATTCTGTTAGGAATCAGTGCATAAAATCTGTATTCTGTTTCTTTTTTGTAATTCATGAGTTAGTCACTTGTGCTATGCCATAATATCATTTATAATTTTGCATTAGGACTCCTTGAACACATCTTTATCTGCTACTTTTTTTAGTAGTGCATTTACATGGAATTGCTTTGTTTCCAAAATACAAACTTCTAACCCAAATTAGTCTCGCGGTTCAAAGCTCTATGGTTATGGTATAAACAAGTGTGTTGGTGTTCTTAGTGATCTACTTAGGTAAGTTGACTTTTAACTTACTATGTTACTTTAGTTAATATTCATGTGTGGAGATCATTTTTTAAAACTGAAATAATGCTGGGATATGATGGTACACACCTGTAGTCCCAGCACTTGGGAGTCTGAGGTGGGAGGATTGTTTGAGCCCAGGAGTTTAAAACCAGACTGTACAATAGTGAGACCACATCTCAAAACAAACCAAAAAAATATATTTTTTCCATTAATAAAATAAAATTTAAAATATTTTTGCTTTTATAGCCCTGTATCAAATCAGTCACTTTTATCAGAATCTGTAGCATCTTCCCAAGTGGACAGTACATCTGTGGACAAAGCAGTACCGGAAACAGAAGATCTGCAAGGTTTGCATATAAACTACTAGCATGTAGTTTATCATTTATTAACTCTTTGAGTATTATACGCCAAACTCTAGCCTAAGCATATGTATTAAAAATTCCTCAAAATATTTATATGCTTTCATTATGAAGAGTATTTTAGGGCTGGGGTTGTAGCTCAGTGGTAGAGCGCTTACCTGGCGTGAATGAGGCACAGGGTTTGATCCTCAGCTAAATAAAGTTTTGGGTGTTCGTTTGTTTTTTAAAGAGAATATTCTATATTCTCAAGTAATTAATTGAATGAAATGTTGGGAATTTCACTTACATATAATTATATCAACATAAATAGAAGGTTCAGAATTTGTTTAGTTTGAAAAATATAGGTTAATGACCATGTAAAAGTGTTATTCTCTTTTATTATTTTGGCCAGTTGAATTTTTAAAATATTTCTTCTCCAAGCAAAGGAATTTGATTCTTTTGGTTTTTGACTTAGATTATTTGAGAAACTATTCTACTTGGTTGGCAGGTACCCCTCTTTCCCCATCTGTGACTTACAGTGCAGTAGTCACATTTAGTTACTTGTATTCACAAGCTGTGGTGCCTCTTGTTCTTTCCATGCTCTTTATATCCCAATTACATGACTCAGAGTAATATGAGGAGACTTGAAAGTTTGTATGAAGGCTTTCTTAACAGGGAGACACAGTACAGAGGAGAGGTCATTTAGAAGGCTTTTAAATAATCTCTTTTTAATTGTTTATGTTCTCCTAATGTGTTAGCCAAGGGTGGATACTCTGGAAAGGCACCCAAAGATGAGCAGTGTGTCTATGTGGCATGATTTAAAGAGAAAAAATGCCTTGACCAGTGACATCCATTGTGCATGGTGTTGGGACGATAGTGACAGATATATCAGGCAACATTTGTTAAAGTTTGTTGAATTTTAAATTTAAATAAGTTAGCCAATTCTCCTTGTTTTTATTTCATGCCCAACAAATGATTGACATAACTTGCCAATTTGCAAGATTTTGCTATAACAAACAAATATAGTATATGCCAACATAAGTAGTCTGATCTGCCTAGCATACTATAAATTTATAAATATGAATCATAAGTGAAAAATTTTTGGGTTTTAGTTAAACAGAAAAATTTAAGCCAAGTGTGATGTCACACATCTGTAATCCAAGCAGCTCAGGAGGCTAAGATAGGAGGATCACAATTTTGAGGCCAGCTTCAGTAACTTAGCAAGGCCTTCAGCAACTTAATGAAACCCTGTCACAAAATAAAAAGGGTTAAGGATATTATGTAGCTCAGTGGTAAAGTATCCCTGGGTTAAATCGCCAGCACCAAAAAAGTAATTTATTAAAGAAGGAAGGATAGAGATGGAGGATACTTTGAAAGCAGAAATAGGAAAAATGTCAAGATTAAGTTATTCACTGTATCAGAGAAATAAGAGAAGGGGGTCTCAAAGCTCCTGGTTTTATCATAATGGCAATGGTATGGTTTCTTTTAGACAGGGAAGCCAAAAAGTTAGTATGGTTAGAGAAAATTTTAAGAAGTGAGGTGGAAATGATTAAATTTCAAACTTGAGAGAGCTCATTTGGAGGTATAGAGAGAAGTTGAGAAGGAAGAAAACAGGTTGCTAATCACAAAGATGTTATTATATCCTATGACAGAATCAATTTTAGAATTTTAGCTATGAAAAAAATTTAAAGCTTAAGGATGCAATAGTAATTGCTATACAGTTTGACAAAGAATAAAGACTGTAGGTTGGTGAACTAATAATATATGAAGTACTTTTATACCATTCTAGTGTATGGAAAACATAGTTTATTCCAGCTGTCTCTGAGTACAAAGGTGATCGTGATGCCATATTAAAAGAAATTGTAGTCTTTTAAAAATTTAGGCTTGTTTTCTTCATGTATAATTTAAAGGATTTTTAAGTTGTATTTAACATTTTTTTGTTGTGTTTTGTTTGTTTGTTTTTTGAGACCATGGATTAAACCCAAGGACACTTAACCACTGAGCCACATCCCTAGGCTTTTCTTGTATCT